TGAAAAAAATATAACAGAACTTAAAAAGCATTTGAAAGAATTTTTTGAAATAAATTTGAATAAAGGTACCCCAATTGAAATTGTGTGGGATGCAAGTAAAGCTTATATGAGAGGGGTACTTATCTACATGAACTCTAAACATAGACTGTTCCGACAAAAGAAAAGATCTGAACTGGAAATAGAAATAAAGAATAAAGAACAGTTACTTATTAAAAATCCAACAGATGAAAGAATACGTAGTGCTATAAAACTTTTGAAAGACCAATTTCAAATGCTTATGGCGGAACAAGTTGCAACAAACTTACAATATGCGAAGCATAACACATTTTGTAACGCTAATAAACCGGGCAGATGGTTGGTTTACACATTGAGGAAAAAACAAAGTATACGGACTATTGATAGTATTGATATTGGAGGGAAAGAAATTTTTCAACAAAAATTAATTAAAGAAGCTTTTGTGGACTATTATACTAAATTATATGCTAAAGAGGAGGTGCAGAATGGACTTATAGAAAAATATTTAAATGATAAAAGAGTTACAAAAATTACTGATCAACAAAAGGAAAGAATGAATTATCCTATAACAGAAGAGGAGATAATAGTAGCAATTAAACAGTTAAAAACAGCCAAAGCTCCTGGCACGGATGGCTTGACTGCAGTGTATTACAAAACTTTGCAAGCTGAAATGGTGGAACAATTTAGAGATTTATTTTGCAATATTCAGCAAGGGGGTAAAATACCCCCATCATGGACAACAGCTTGCATATCTTTGATACCAAAAGAACAAATCGGTCCTAAAAAACCAGAGAACTATAGACCAATATCTCTTTTGAATACAGATTATAAAATTTTTGCGAAAGTATTAGCCAACAGGTTGATGCCAGTAATTCAGAAGGTGATTCATGATGATCAAGCGGGATTTATCGAGGGCAGATATATGAAGGACAATGTAAGGCAAGTAATAGATTTATTGGAATATCTTGAGAAGAATAAACAGATCCCTGCAGTGCTGGTCTTCTTGGATGCAGAGAAGGCCTTTGACAGAGTGGATTGGAATTTTCTATTAAAGACTTTGAAAAAGATGGACTTTGGGGATCAATTTATACAGGCGATTTCGGCAATTTATCAAGAGCAAAAGGCACAGATCATTATTAATGGAAGTCTGACAACAGAGTTTAAAATTGAAAAAGGAACAAGACAGGGATGTCTGTTGTCCCCACTTTTATTTATTTTAACACTAGAAGTCTTGCTAAATACAATACGGGACTCTAATATCTTGAAAGGTATAAAGATTAGGCAAGAGGATTACAGAATAAAGGCATTTGCAGATGATCTGGTTGTTACCCTATCATAATCAATGGAATCAATAATCTTGATGAAGGACATTATACAAGACTATGGTAAAGTTTCAGGTTTTAGATTGAATCCAAAAAAGACTAAAATGATAGCTAAAAACATGACACAAGATCGTAAACATGAGCTTGAAAGGAGGGAAGGTTTTGAGACTGTACCTAAGGTGAAATATCTAGGAGTTCAGGTTGCAGAATCAAATATGAAATTGTTTCAAAATAACTATGAGGTGTTGTGGCGAGAGGTGCAGAAAGATATGGAGACTTGGAAAAAACTGCAACTGTCTCTACTTGGAAGAATAGCAGCAGTTAAGATGAATATTTTGCCAAGATTTCTTTTTTGTTTCAAATGATTCAGGTGCTTAAAAGTGATAAACAATTGAAAGTTTGGCAATCTGGAGTGAATAAGTTTGTCTGGAACGAGAAGAAGCCAAGAGTGAAATTGAAAATTATGCAAGATGTTCCAGAAAGAGGAGGTCTTAAACTTCCAAACCTACAGCTATATTATGATGCAGCAGCTTTAACTTTAACAAGTGATTGGTTTGGAAGGAAAAAGACTGGAATATTGAATGCAGAAAGTTTTGATCTTGAATTTGGATGGCATGCTTACTTATTTTATGATGACAAAGTTGATAAAGTATTTAAAAGTCATATACTTAGAGACTCTTTGATGAGAGTTTGGAAGAAGCACCAACTCAAATGGGATTATAAAATACCGCTATGGCTGGATCTTGGTCATACTTTGTGGAATACAAATATAATGTCACTTGGGGGGGTTTTATATAAAGAGGTTCTTTTTACAGATGCGGGCAGATGGCAGCTGAAGACATTGCAGACACTGTTGGACGAAGGGATTAATTTAACTTGGTTACAATATAATCAATTACAATTGAGATGGAAAGAGGACCAAAAAACTGGTATTATGTTGCATGAGGAAGAATTGGTTAGACATATAAGAGAGAAAGGTCCAATGCATATCAAAAGGCTTTATAATGTTTTGCTAGAAAGAGATTCAGAAACTGAATTAGTTAAAGACTGTATGATTAAGTGGGCACAGAATTTTGAAGAACCAGTGATGCTGGAAACATGGGAAAAAATTTGGGTTCAGAATGTTAAATTTACACAGTCGCAGAATCTGAGGGAAAATTTCTACAAAATGTTTTATAGATGGCATTTAGATCCCAAAAAGTTGTCATGTATGCACCCTAATGTTCAGCCAAAATGTTGGAGATGTGAATGTTTGGATGCTACGTATTATCATGTTTGGTGGACCTGTAGGAAAGTTAAGGCTTTTTGGATAAAAATTTGGTGGGTCATGCAGAATGTTTTGAAGAAAAAAATTCAATTTTCTCCACAACTGTTTTTATTGGGTATAGTTAAGGGTTTTACATTGGGTGAAACAAAATTGATATTGTATATGATAACAGCAGCAAGATTGTTGATAGGTAAATATTGGAAGAATGAAGCTTTGCCCACTATTGAGGAATGGACTTTGAAGATGGCCAGTTTTGCAGAGATGGCGAAGATTTCAGCATATCTAAAAGACTGTTCACAAGAGACTTATGAGTGGGAATGGAAAAGGTGGATAGAATATGTTCAGAACAAATATCAAACTAGAAAGTATCAAATAGCTTTTATTTGAAAATAATGTATTGGAAATTTTTTAATGTAATGAGGTAAAGAGAAAAATTATACAGGGGAGGGAGGGGTTCAAGTTTATATATAAGTGTTACATTAGGGTTCTTTATGAGTATGAGTATATTATAGGGAAGTCTGGGGGGAGGGGAGGGTTAGGGAGGTTGGGAAGTTTGGGGGGGGTGGGGGGGAAAAGGGGTGAAAATGTAATTTTAAAACTTTTGCAATAAAAAAAAAAAAGTATGAAGGCTATTGCTTAAAAGCATTGTAAGCCGCCCTGAATCTCCGGAGAACGGCAGCATATAAATCAAACTAATAAATAAATAAATAAATAAATAAATAAATAAATAAATAAATAAATAAATAAATAAATAAATAAATAAATAAATAAATAAATGAATGAATGAATGAATGAATGAATGAATGAATGAATAAATAAATAAATAAATAATAAAATGGAAATGTATGTTTCGTGTTTGTTTCTGTTTTTGTTTTTAAAGGAAAAATAATAAAAACATTTTTTTTAAAAAAAAAACCATCTCTTGTGCTGTACAGTTCTACATGAGCTATTTCCAAAGCATGAACACCTCTGACGATCGCTTTAAATTTTTAAGACGTTTCCCAGTGAAGGAATTCATTGGAAGCTCTTTTATTGTTGTAGCCATTGAGGAATCTGATAAGGAAATATACCTGAAAGAACGACCCAACAGGTCATGATTGTATTTTATGTTCTTAATTAAGAGAGTTAAACCGAATATTTAATCTTTCTTTCTGTGTCCAAATCAGAGGTGGGATTCAGATATTGTTACCATTGGTTCGCTGTGCGTGCATGCGTCTTCCACACATGTGCCCGGTCTTCCATGCATGCACCTGGCCTCAAAAATGTAGGTAAATAAGATGACCCAGTGCTGGGATGGGTGGGTGGGCCCACCTGTGATCTCTGCTACAGGTTCGGGCAAACCTATCCGAACCGGCTGAATACCACCTCTGGTCCAAGTGTATAGATTATTGTTTTTTGTTTTTTTTAAATCTATTCATTAACGTTATTTTTGCCATGAGGAGCACTTTTCCTCCAAAGATTAGGGTAGCCCTGACCCTGTTGGTTTTGAAGGGTCATTGGTGCTCAATGGAGATTGGTTGTTCCTTGTAGACATTTCATTTACTGGTACATGCTGGCTTTTTCTAAAGCTCTGAATATCTGGTTCTGTCCATCAGTGTGCAGTCCTATAACTTTACAGAAACATAGACACACCTCGCCCCAATCCCTCTGGGAAGAGATCCTACATATGTCATCAGGGTCATCTACAGATTGCTAAATCAGGATCCTGCTAGAACTCATGATGTTATCTAGATTGGGTAATGAAACATATGCCAGAAAAAAGCAAACTTCAGAGTAGCACCAAGGATCCCTCATTGCCACCCTGAGCTACACATATTCTCCTTTTTTGGTACCCTGTTCTCTGTCAGCACTTGTCCCTGTATCCTATATTCTGAATTAAAATAGTTAAATCCAGTACATCATCTTTCTTTCTGTGTCCATGTATTTATATTATTGTAAAAAATATCAACTGATTTTTAAAATTATTTTTTTATTTCAGAAAGAGGGGGAACACTTTGTCAAATTGACAATTAACAAGTAGGTAGGTTTTCTAAGGCCAGCTAGGAGAAAATATTTTAACAGATAATTAAATCTTCCTGGAATTGGTCCAAATTACTATCATGTGTTCATTTGCTCAAAGCTCCAGAGATCTTCTAGAAAGCAGTGAAAAGTAGAAAGCAAGTTTGAAAGAGGTTATAAACTAATCCTGGTTCAATGGAGAGCTTGGGGTGGTGGGAAATGTCCAACAATGCTATTGAGTTCAATGTCTCCAGCATCCGTTCTTTCTTTGATCAGACCTATTTCAAATCTGAGTTGTAGACATCTCAGTCATTATTCAAGCACGTGTCATATCTCCATCAAAATGAAAAGTTTAGATTGATGCTTTGGTCTCTGGACGTGTGTTGGGAAGATCCAGAATGCTAGATCAGATCCATTGGTGTGGCGTGATATGTTGGAGACCTCTTTGGGAAGATGTTTTGGCTGCTGCTGTGTTATTCATTCTGATGTTCCCAGTGATCAAAGTGAATGCACTCAAGTGCCCAGAGGTTGATCCTATCCCAATTCCACATGAATGGTACCAACTAGGTGATCTCCTCATTGGAGAGATGACTTCACAGATCCTCTATTCCTTCAGTGAGCATTCATTTCATGAACATCCATCTCAGGAGCTCTATGGACTTTCAGAGTAAGCAAAATCCACTCTTTTCTTCACCTAATGATTCCTTGTTTCTTTTCTTCAGTTTGTTCTAGCTGGCCACACCTATCTCTATGAAAAAAGATCCATAAAGAAAGCAGATGAAAGCTTTATCAGATTAAGTAATCACTTTAGTTTCTGAGAATTTCTGGTTGTAGATTTTGTTTCCCATCATTTTTATTTTAAATTTAATGTTATGTAGGTTAAACATGATGGCTAAATAGCTAGATTGCAAATCCCTAAGAATTTTTTGAGTAAGCAAAATCCACTCTTTTCTTCGTGTAATGATTCCTTGGTTGTTTTTTTCTCAGTTATTCATATCTCTATGAAAAAAGGTCCATAACAAAAGCAGATGGAAAGCTTTATCTGATCGAGTAAAAGCTTCATTTTCTGAGAGATTCTGACTGAAGGTTAAATAAGACTTTCCTTTCTCATCAGTTTTATTTTAAATAAAATGTTATATAGGCTAAACATGATGGCTAAATTGAAAATCCCTAAGAAAGGAGATTTAATAAAATGAAGAAATACTTTGAAATATATGGTCCCCTTATTATTAAATAAACGAATAGAATTAATTAATATAATCAGATTCCACTACTGGAATTGCCTGGGAATAGCCCAGGCCTTAACCAAATTGAAAATCTATGGAGCCGACTAAAGAAGTTCTGACTAGTCAGAAGTGACCCAGCAACCTGCCTTCCTCAATGGATTAATTATCCTCAATGGTTCTAGTTATCCTCTGAAGTTCGTGTTTGTCTTGTTGTGTTGCAGAGCCAAACCAGACAATTATAGAGGTGCAGATGACAGACTCAATAATTCCTCTGTAGAAGTGTATCAGCAGCTCCTTGGGCAGTTTGAGCTTTTTGAGTTGGCGCAGAAAGAACATTCTTTGTTCTGCTTTTTTAATGACGTTTTTGATGTTAGCTGTCCATTTTTGATCTTGCAATATGGTAGAACCTAGAAATTTGAAGGTCTCTACTGTTGATACTGGGTTGTCAAATATTGTGAGAGGTGGAAGTATGGAAGGCTTTCTCCTAAAGTCTACCACCATTTCTACGGTTTTGAGTGTGTTCAGTTCCAGATTGTTCCAGTCACACCATGAGGCTAGTTGTTAAACCTCCTGTCTATATGCGGATTCATCATTGTGACCGATCACTGTTTGTCATCTGCAAACTTCAGTAGTTTAACAGATGGATTGTTAGAGATGCAGTCATTGGTATACGAGAGAAGAGAAGTGAGGAGAGCACACAGCCTTGGGGTGGGGGTGGGGGCTGTGCTAATTGTACAGGTATCTGATGCGATTCTGTTTAGCTTCACCTACTGCTTCCTGTTTGTTAGGAAGCTTATGATCCACTTGCAAGTTTGTTCAGGTACCTGTATCTGGTTTAGCTTAGTTAGAAGTGTGTCTGGAATGATGGTATTAAATGCTGAACTAAAGTCTATAAAGAGGACCCTTGCATAGGTCTTTGGAGATTCAAGATGTTGTAGGATGTAGTGCAGAGTCATATTAACAGCATCATCTGTCGATCTATTTGCTAGATATGCAAATTGCAAGGGGTCTAACAGCAGTTCTGAGATGGATTTTAAGTGGGACAGCATTAGCCTTTCAAAGGTTTTCATGACAGATGTTAAGGCAACTGGTATGTAGTCATTCAGTTCCTTGATGGTGGGCTTCTTGGGCACTGGGATGATAGTAGAGCATTTGAAGCAAGAAGGAACATAGCACATTTCTAGTGATTTATTGAAGATGGGGGCCAATTGGTCAGCACAGACTTTTAAGCAAGAAGAAGTTATCTTGTCTGGGCCTGGAGCTTTTCCTGGCTTTTATCTGTGAAATAGGTCTTGCACTTCCTTTTCTGTGATCACTAGGAATTGTGAACCCAGTGGGATGGGATAAGGCTCATGGTAAAGGGTACCCATGTCAGTCAATACTTAAAGGTTAACTGACATGGTGATAAAACTGATGATGAAAACTGATGATATGTTGATTGATTCAGTGACCATGCCATTCACAGACAATATTTCATTATGACAGAGTTGTCAATTGACATAAAATATCCCTATCGAAAACATAGAGAGGGGTAGAAGTTATAGATATATTTAACTCAGCTAAAGCAACGACTATTGTTGAGACATAAAATTTCCTTTAAAGTTAACTTCTGAAAAAGTGATTTTTTGTTAACACTTTGTAAATTTTATTTACAGGGTCTTAACAAAATTCTACCAACATGTCCTTTCCTTGGCCTTTGCTGTGAAGGAGATCAATGAGAATCCACAAATCCTGTCTAATGTCACCCTTGGCTTCCATATCCATGACAACTATTACCACCCAATGATGACCTATCGGACAACCTTGGACTTACTCTTCAAATCCCAACAATTTGTCCCCAACTACAAGTGTGACACTATGAAAAATGTTATGGCCATTATTGGGGGACTCACCTCTGAAACGTCATCCTATATGGCAGACATTGTAGGTTTATACAAGATACCACAGGTAGGCACTTGAAGAATAGACATAAATTACATTTCAGCTTAAAATGAATTTACTAAAGGAGTTGAATATGTTACTGGCAATATCTTTCAAAAGGATAAATGTGTTTTTCCTTTTAGCTGACTTATGGTTCATTTGCCCCTCGGAATAGTGATAACAGTGAAATGCCATCTTCATATTCCATTGTCCCAAATGAATCTTCTCAGTACATTGGGATTATCCGACTGCTTCAACATTTTGGGTGGATCTGGATTGGGATCCTTACTACTTATTATTTATTTATTTATTAATTAAATTTCTATACCGCCCTTCTCCAATAGGACTCAGGGCGGTGCACAGCCAAGATAAAAACAAAGCATACAAAATTTAAGAACAGTATTAAAATAATTAAATATTTTGGCCGAAATTAAGATAACCCAATTTAAAATCAATTTAAAATTTAACTCAGGCCAGCCCAGCTTGTTGAAATAAATAGGTTTTCAGGGCCCGACGAAAAATTCGGAGGTCTGTTATTATACGTAACTCTGGGGGAAGGTTGTTCCAGAGGGTGGGCGCCGTCACAGAGAAGGCTCTCCCCCTGGGGGTCGCCAGCCGACATTGTCTGGCGGATGGCACCCTGAGGAGGCCCACTCTGTGCGAGCGTACTGGCCGGTGGGAGGCTATTGGTGGCAGAAGGTGGTCTCGTAAATACCCCGGCCCTAAGCCATGGAGCGCTTTAAAGGTGGTCACCAACACCTTGAAGCGCACCCGGAAGACCACTGGGAGCCAGTGCAGCTCGCGCAGGAGAGGTGTCACATGGGAGCGCCTCGTCGCCCCCATAATCCCCCGCGCGGCCGCGTTCTGGACCAGCTGGAGCCTCCGGGTGCACCCCAGGGGGAGCCCCATGTAGAGAGCGTTGCAGTAGTCCAGGCGGGAAATGACTAGTGCCTGAGTGACTGTGCGTAGAGAGTCCCGATCTAGAAAGGGGCGCAGCTGGCGTATCAGGCGAACCTGATAAAAAGCCCCCCTGGCCACGGCCGTCAAATGATCTTCTAAAGACAGCCATGCGTCCAGGAGGACGCCCAAGTTGCGAGCCCTCTCCGTGGGGGCGAGTGATTCGCCCCCAATAGCCAGCGATGGCGTCAGCTGGCTATATCGGGACGCTGGAAGCCACAGCCACTCGGTCTTGGAGGGGTTGAGTCGGAGCCTGTTTCTCCCCATCCAGGCCCGCACGGCCTCCAGACACTGGGACATCACTTCAAGGGCATCGTTGGGGTGGCCTGGGGTGGAGATGTACAGCTGGGTGTCATCAGCGTACTGATGGAACTCCACCCCAAAGCCACGGATGATCTCACCCAGCGGCTTTACATAAATGTTGAACAGAAGGGGCGAGAGGACCGACCTTTGTGGCACCCCACAAGCAAGGTGCCTCGGGGTCGACCGCTGCCCCCCCGTCAACACAGATTGCGACCGGTCAGAGAGGTAGGAGGAGAACCACCGCAGAACGGTGCCCCCCACCCCCAACCCCGCCAACCGGTGCAACATGATACCATGGTCGATGGTATCAAAAGCCGCTGAGAGGTCTAACAGGACCAGGATAGAGGAGCAACCCCTATCCCGAGCCCTCCAGAGATCATCCACCAACGCGACCAATGCCGTTTCTGTGCTGTGCCCAGGCCGGAAGCCGGACTGGAGCGGGTCTAGATAGACAGCTTCATCCAGGTACCGGGGAAGCTGTTGCGCCACCACACTCTCAACAACCTTCGCAACAAAGCGAAGGTTGGAGACTGGACGATAGTTAGCCAAAACAGCCGGATCCAGAGAGGGCTTCTTGAGGAGGGGCCTCACAACCTCTTCTTTCAAAGCGGCCGGCAGGACCCCCTCACTCAAAGAAGCGTTAACAATCTTCTGGAGCCAGCCTCGTGTCACCTCCCGGGAAGCCAGTACCAACCAGGAGGGACACGGGTCCAATAAACATGTGGTCGCGTTCAGCCGTCCCAGGACCCTGTCCATGTCCTCGGGAGCCACAGGATCGAACTCCCCCCAGATAACACTCTCAAGACCTGCCTCAGTCATCCCGTCCGGACATACCCAGTCAGAGGCCAGTCCTTCCCGAATCTGAGCGATTTTGTCATACAGATACTGCACAAAGTCCTCGGCTCGGCCCTGCAAGGGGTCATCCCGCGCTTCCAGATGGAGGAGGGAGCGGGTCACCCTAAACAGGGCGGCCGGGCGATTATCTGATGACGCGATAAGAGCGGCAAAATAACTAGATTTTGCCGCTTTTATCGCCACTAGGTAGGTCTTAATATGAGACCTCACCAGTGTTCGGTCGGATTCGGAGCGACTGGTCCTCCAACTACTCTCCAGGCGTCTTTTCCGGCGCTTCATCTCCCTGAGCTCCTCGGAGAACCAAGGAGCTAGGTGAGTTCGGTGCCAGGTCAGAGGCCGCAAAGGCACGACACGGTCCAAGGCCCCGGCAGCCGCACTATCCCAGGCGGCCACCAGGTCCTCAGTCGAGTCATGAGCCAGAGTCTCAGGAAATGGCCCAAGCTCCATCTGGAACCTATCAGGGTCCATCAGGCGCCTGGGGCGGAACCACCTGGTCGGTCCCGCCTCCCTGCGGCGGGGTGCAGCGGTTAGAAAGTCCAGTCGAAGGAGCGAGTGGTCAGACCATGACAAGGGTTCGATGACTATATCCCCTGTATCAAGGCCACTCAACCACTGACCAGAGACAAAAACTAAGTCCAGAGTGTGTCCACCCGTGTGAGTGGGGTCATGAATTAACTGAGTAAGGTCCATGGCCGTCATGGAAGCCATGAACTCTTGAGCCACCTCAGACGTTTCGCCGACAGATGGCAGGTTGAAATCCCCCATGACTAGAAGTCTGGGGGTACCAGCCGCCACCTCAGCTATGACGTTGAGCAGCTCGAGCAGGGCCGTTGCCACGCGGCAGGGAGCCAGGTACGTGATCAACAAGCCCATCTGTACTCCACGACCCCACCTCACAAAAAGGGACTCACATCCGGCTATCTGTGGAACAGTGGTCTCCCTCGGATCAAGACTTTCCTTTATAATAACCGCCACCCCCCCGCCCCTGCCCTGAGCTCTCGGCTGATGGAATGCTCGGAAACCTGGTGGGCACATATCCACGAGGGGAACCCCCCCCTCATGGCCCAACCAGGTCTCCGTAATACCTGCCAGGTCCGCTCCCCCATCCTGAATAAGATCGCAAATGAGGGGGGCTTTATTTACCACGGACCTGGCATTGCACGACAGCAGCCGAAGGCTCGGGCCCTGAGAGTCTGAACAGCCTGGGATACGAGAAGGGCTATGGGGACCGGGGCGTGCCACCCCTCGAAGATAGCGAGTGCGCGCCCCCACTACATGATGCGGCCCCCTGCTCCCACCATATCTGCCCCTCCCACTCAACACATTGATAGAAAAGCCCTCGACAGAATGGACTCTGATGTCCCCCTTACCCCCGGAATCTACACCCTCCGTGGCCCCACTAACAGCTGGGCCGGACCCCTCCCCCCGTGGGTTAACCCCCAAACCCACACAACCCTCCCGCCCCTTAAAATCCCTTAAAAATCTATCAAAAAGTTTCCCTAAAAAACCCCTTAATCCCCTTTTTGCAGCATGCCACCTCTCGGGGTGCCAAAGCCCGTCATAAAGGTAGGCCCTTGATAAAGTGGAGGGCCACACCTGCGAGAGGGGGGAGTCTCGCAGAATAAGAAGTTCTGTTGGCGAATACATCTAATCAGTCAATTAATCAATCAATCAATCGGGGGAAAATCAACGGCCTGGGGGTAATCAAGATAGTCCAAAGTCTGGAAAGGGATATTCAATCAATTCCAAGTCAGTAAACTCCACTGCTCTCTCACAGCAGTGGATGGAGTCTTAGGCCGCTTCGAGGCCAGATGTTAACACCAGCTGCCCTCTCACGAAAGCTGGGAAGGGCCAGAAACCGCAGTCATCGACCGGCACCATGAAAGACTTGAAATCCGAATATTTCCCTCTTACAATTGGGGGCATTGATAACAAACCACCAATCTACAGGTTCACGGGCCCAGAGAAGACTCCGATAACTCTAGCGGCTGCACCTTAGGCGAGTAGGGAGGCGAATCGGGAGGCTATAGATGTCCATGTCCATGGGAGGCAGGTATCATAACAAGTATCGTATCATATTATTCAGAGGCATCTCCATACTGATAATATGAATGGAGAATGTTTCTTGCAGACCATGGAAACCCTCCTTTCCCAACATGGAATCTGCTCTGCTTCCATCCAAAGAATCCAGTATTTAACACAATGGGATAAAATGTATGAAATGATTGGAAAAGCAATGATTATTTATAATGGCATAGCTGATGAGGAGATCAATACCTTTATTGTGTGTGGAGACTCTTTGACAATTGTATGGCTGACCACTATTATATTCATACTGGATCCCGGAGTTGGGCAGAGTTCCTTGGGGAAAGTGTGGCTCATGACTGCCCAGATTGATTATGTCTTAACAGGAGTGCAAAGAAAATGGGATCGACAGTTCTTTGATGGTGCCATTTTATTCACAATTCACTCAACAGAAATTCCAGGGTTCAAGGAATTCCTGAAGTCGATAAAACCTCCTTGGATTCAAGAAGATGGATTTTTTCCACTTTTCTGGGAACAAGTGTTTGATTGTTTATTGCCATCACCTCATTCGACCCCAGAGGACAACGATATTTGTACTGGAGAGGAAAAGCTGGAGGATATTCCTGGGTCTATGTTTGAGGTGCATCTTTCTGGGCACAGCTATAGCATCTACAATGCTGTCTATGTGTTGGCTCAAGCTTTATATACTCTCTTCTTACTTGGATCTAATCACAGGCATTTGAGGAGACATAAATTATTAGACTATGAAGACACACAGCCATGGCAGGTGATTTGTGTTGTAAAAATACATTATATGAAACCATGGTAAATGCAAAATTAGACTATATGATTCAAACAGGGAAGAAGCAACTGTTCAAAAAGTTCATCCTTTGATAAAATTTATATTTATTCCTTTATTTCCGTACTTCAATATATTTTCCATTTTACTCCATGAACAACTTCAGAATGCAAGGATTAAGACTTAAATGAAGTGAGATCCGGGTCCTGGTTTTCAAATTCCTATAGCTTTTTAGGCATTTCACTGACTGATATTATTATTTTTTAAAAAATATTTTTATTATACATTTTCCTTTATTATACATCACATTTTAAGTTCTGCAATGACAGTGTACTGGTTGTATCATCCTTTTTAAGTGTACATAATATTATACGCCCTGATTATAACCATTATTCTCGTAGTCATACGAGTATAGTCTCTTTTCAATACATCATATTGTATGTCATAGTTATAACCATTATTTGCATAGCTGTACCATAACACTCTATACATTTATCACTCTATATGTTTTAATCTATAGTCACGTACCATCCAATAGTATTATTGCTTATAATATATATTCTTATTTATATCTATATAACTGTATTTATTTTTATTTTGTTAATCTTCTTTCGTTATTAAGTTACTAATCTCTGCACCTGATATCTAACCATTTGTACAATGAATCCCATGTTAATCGGGAGAAGGGCGGTATAGACATCTAATAAACTCTAAACTCACACTCTTAAGTAATACTGTAATTCCTCTTTATCTTTGAGTTCCATCGTTAACCTGTCCAATTCGGCACATCCTAATATTTTCTTTATTACCTTCTTTATTATTATACTTTTGTTTTTCCAATTTTGTGCATATGTGATTCTAGCTGCTGTTATTACATGTAACATTAAGTATGTAATTCTTCTATTGTATTTCCCCTTGTAGTATACCTAGTAACAATAGTTCTGGTTTTATATCTATTTGTTGTGCAGTCATCCCTTCTAACCATCTTTTTATCTTTGACCAATATTTTTTTGCCGTTGGGCAGGTCCACAACATATGATAGTAGGATCCTGGTACTTGTTTACATTCCCAATACCCTGGTGACATTTTCGGGAACATTTTTGATATTCTTGCTTGTGGCAAATGCCATCTATAAAACATTTTGTACAGGTTTTCTTTGTATGCTGTTGACATCGTTAATTTGTAATTTCTTTCCCATAACTACCGATATTATTGAAGACAACAGAAGGATTCTATTTAGTTGTGTCAGCTATCTTTCAGTCTTTACCATGTTCATAGAAGCCTTATGTCTGTGAGAATTGAATGAAATGAAAAATGGGTGGGAAGTCACAAGAAGATCAGTCAGGTGAGGCTTACTTAGAAAATGAGGAAGAGATCAGAGAGGGAATGTGATTTTGGAAATCTAGTTCCACATCATTTCCTAGGCTATGTTTGACTGGGGAAAAACTTGCTGCAATTCATTTCTATCATTTGACTATGACTCAGAAAAGAAGAATCTGACCCTTTGAATTATTCCCCCAAATGCAGAGGGCAGCAAACAGGTTCTCAAGAGGTTGGAGAAATAATCTTTCCATATATTCAGAGTTTCTCATTCAAAAGCTTACTACTACTAAGACAAAATAACTGATATCTTTCTATTCTTTGTTTTCTGTTTTTTTTAATTCCCAATAATATAGCTTCACCAATTTCTTAAAGGCATGAAATTCAATAATTCTCTTGGAGACATCATAACATTTTATGATCAAAAAAACATGGAGGGTGGATTTGATATTGTCAACATAGTCACTTTTCCCAATTCCACTTTCCAGAGACGTCAGATTGGAAAAGTGGATCCAGATGCTCTCAAAGGACAGGAATTAATCATTAATGAGGACATGATAGCTTGGCATAGATCATTTAACCAGGTATGGTTTCCAGAAGTTTTTGTGAGGAGATACCATTTTCATATGGATTGATTTGGCTTGGAAATTTACTGTTCTTCTTCTAGGCAACCCACGAGAACTAAACAGATTAAAATGAAATGACATTTTTCCACTTTAATTGTTGAAAACTAACTTCACTAATATTATGTACATTATTTATTAGACATCCCCCAAATAGCAAACTGAAAATGTGAAAGAAAATAAATGCATTTAAATGACTACATTTCTTTAGTTGAGTCAAACTTGATGTGATTTAAAGCAAATTTGACTGACTCATTCCTTCTGATTAAATGGATGAATTGATGTAATGAATCACATATTCAATTTCTGGTATCTTACAAAATTGGAAATCTAGATCTAGTACGCTCACAGATTTCAGGTTGATTTGAAATACACTCTGAAATCCTATTTATTTCTTGATCCGTTTATACATAGTTCAGATAGGATGTATCTTTTTAGTGTAACAGTGAAACACAATTAACAACTGATTTTTATTCAAAATAAGAAATCCTAATTTTTTCAACATCTTTGATATTGAAAACCAGGTGCTCCCCATCTCTGTCTGCAATGAACATTGTCAGCCTGGTTATCAGAAAAGGAAGAATGAAGGGAAAAAATTCTGCTGTTATGATTGCGTTCCATGCCCAGAAGGGAAAATCTCAAATACGATTGGTATGTTAATAACATGTCTAATTTTGTTGCCATAGAGATGAACTTGAAATATCATCCAGAGTGCCACTACAGACAAGTACACCATGTGGGTATTTTTGGAAAGGTATTCTGCAACATGATTTCAGCTAATTAGTTTTCAGGTTGCATATTCATCAGTTTTTATTTGGAAACAGCAAAATGATGGTAAAATATAAAAAATCTAGATATATTACAGTATCTGAAAATGGGATAAACAATTAGATTATCCTCTTTTCACGAGCCCATAATCCCTTCAAGGGTGAAATCTGGGCAACTGAATGGAGCTGAATGTTTACTAGCTGGATTCCCTTTCTGTCACCAATGCAGAGTTTTTTCAGTAGATATATTCTCATTGTGCCCAGAGAGAGAAATATCTGCCTCTACCTAGGATCGAACTCACAGCCTCCTGATTGTGAGGTGAGAGCTCAACCTCTAGGCCACCGTGCCACCCAAGCTCTAAACAATGAGATTTTTAGAATTTTGTTTATTTATTTAGAAATGGTATGTGACAAAAATAATAATAACAACAATAATAATATATTTTAAATGCTAATTATTTCCATTTCCCAATTACATTTATTATGCTCCATTTCTGCACTGTGACTTCTTTGGAAAATCTTTGCTACTCATATTTTCCCTAGAGTGTGCAAAAAATGAATATATATATATATACCATTTTTTGATGCCCTAAGTCCAGTATTTTATTTATGGGGATAAACACAAAGATGAACTTTAAAAGAAGTGACGAATGAAAAATTAGAAAATAAAATTATTAAATAAAAATGATGTTTTGTAGCATCAAAAAATTCTGGTTTTGATGTAGTTTGTCCTTGAAATAGATATAAAATATTGATCTTTTTGGAATTTCCTCCTTGATAGTTTGTCTTCCCTTTTCAATTGAAATTTGAAAACATTTCATATGCACCAAGACAAATTCCTTGTGTGTCCAATCATACTTGGCCAATAAAAAAATTCAATTCAATTCAATTCAATTCAATTCTATTCTATTCTATTCTATTCTATTCTATTCTATTCTATTCTATTCTATTCTATTCTATTTCATTTTCACACATTTACTTGCTTTCAATGTCCTGGAGATCCATGAGCAAATTATAACAAAAAGGAATGCATCATGAAAACAATTAGCTACTTGTCTTATGGAGAACTTTTAGGAATCAGTTTAGCCATTGTTGCTACTCTACATTTATTCACTGCAACATGAGTGTTTTGTTTTTTTTTCCAATTTCAGACATGGTAGCTTGTGTCCAATGTCCAGAAGATCAATATGCAAACCAAGAAAGAAATGGATGTCTCCTGAAAAGGACAAACTTTCTGTCTTATGAAGAACCTCTAGGGTATAGTTTAGCTTGTCTTGCTGCTGTGTTCTCCCTCATTACAATATGGGTGCTGGGAACTTTTATTAAGTACAAGGACAGCCCTATTGTAAAAGCCAACAACCGGAATCTCACCTACACCCTCCTCATCTCCCTTCTCTTCTGCTTCCTCTGCTCGTTGCTCTTTCTTGGACAACCTGGGAGAGTCACCTGTCTCCTCAGACAGTCTGCATTTGTTCTCATCTTCTCATTGTCCATCTCTTGTGTCTTGGCCAAAACCATCCTTGTTTCTCTTGCCTTCAAGGCCACCAGGCCAGGATCTCGGATGAGGACATGGGTGGGGAAAAGACTGGCTGTTTCTATTGTCCTTTTCTGTTCTCTACTCCAAGCAAGCATCTGTATTGTGTGGTTATCCACCTCTCCCCCATTCCCAGAATTAGACATGCATTCAACAACTGAAGAAATGGTCCTACAATGCAACGAGGGGTCAGTTGTTATGTTTTATTGTGTCCTGAGCTATATGGCCCTCCTTTCATTTGCTAGCTTCATTGTGGCTTTCCAGGCTCGTAAACTGCCCAACAGCTTTAATGAAGCCAAGTTCATCACATTCAGCATGTTGGCTTTCTGCAGTGTGTGGGTCTCCTTTGTGCCAACCTACCTGAGCACCAGGGGAAAAGCCATGGTGGCTGTAGAGATCTTCTCCATTTCAACCTCCAGTGCTGTGCTCCTAGGATGCATTTTTTTCCCCAAGTGTTATATTATTGTGTTTAGGCCTGATTTAAACAACAAGGAACAATTAATAAAGAGACATTCTTGAACATATTTTTCTTTGCTTGATTATGTTTTTAAGTTAGTAAGAGTAAGATTCATCAAAATTAGAAAACTTTTTCTAAGTGAAAAGTTAAGGGTGTCTACTATATAGTCACAGAAGTAATTTAACATAATGTAATGTAAAAACATTTCTTTTAAAATCAGCAATTATTTTTATTAATAAAGAAAGCAAACAAAATTTATCATCCTGAATCATTATTGGCAGGATGATCTAACACGTGTTTGGTTGAGTTTGTTCCTTGTTCACTACCAGCAACAGTCTGGATATCTGTTGTCTTATTTTATCTCCTTCACAATAAGACAATAAGATCTGTTGTCTTATTTCATCCATACTTATATCCGCTTATCCATCAAATACACATGGGCACGATCCAAACTGCATGATACAATTTATCTTATTGTTATCAATGTTATTGTTTACTATTGTGATTGGTATTATCTTTTAATATTATTGTAAATAGATTCTTGACTCTTGCTGGTCTATGACCGTAATAAACTTTATATTCTATTCCATGAGATGCAAAACATTACATAGGTGTGATCCAATCCAGAACCTCAGTTTCCTCCCTATTCCAAGCAGTTAACATCATGCAACTAATCAACTTAAAGAGCCCGTAGCTTTTATGATACCCTTGTGGGTGCATTAGTCAACCATGGGCAGACTGATCTCTTAGATTTAGCCTCACCGCAGCTGAAAGTACCTGATGGTAATCAGGGCATAATATGACCATGACAAGAGAAACACCAAGAGCCACTAGCCCTGCTCCAATTTTAGATTTTATTGTCACTACTCCAACAGAAATACCCAATCAAGTATGCCCCCACAGTCTCATTATCAGGTCCTGAATGATTTGGGATAGGCCCTCTACTAGGGAAAGCAGATTAAAATCCCCAAAGACCATGAGTTTGTCAACCCAAAAATGAAGTCAAGAAGGTCAGGTTGGGAGGCTACAACCTATAAGGGAGGCTGGTGCAGCAGCAACAATGCCAATTGATCCCAACCTATTGAACAGGTTTCACATTCAAGAATCTGTGGTGGAGCATCCTTCAAGTCTTTAGAAACTCCTGGCTGGTGATCATTATATTACCACCCATGCCTTAGATTTTCCACTGATGTCACACCTGAAGCTGGGTATATCTCCTAAAGTTCCACCCATCCTTCTGGACCCAGACTGGTCTAAGTAATACATGTTTCAGGTGACCCAGTCCCTTCTTGGGGGGAGTAATACCTAAAGGGTATTACATCTTCTGGACAATGTCACTCAAATTAGCTCCATGTTGGACTTCAATTTTAAAAGCAGAATCTGTGAGGTGTGGGGGTTTGCAAGGTGATCTGAGAAGATTTTGAGCCCATGGAACCAGAGGAAGTGGACAAGACCCTCTCGGCTGCTAGTTTAGCCACTTGTGTATTAGCTCCATTCCCCTCCTGACTTATTAAAGCTGTGTGGAAAGGAACATTGGATTGAGTCTGGTGAGAATTAACTTTCCTTGATAGAAGGAATGGTCCCAACAGCTCTTGAAGAGAGGGTAGTGTGCCCCCTCCTTAAAGGAGCATCACTCAACCCAAGCAGGCTGGACAATTTTCACCAAATTTCCAACCATCTCTTTTCAGAGATCAGAGGTGGGTTTCAGCAGGTTCTGACCAGTTCTGGAGAACTGGTAGCACAAATTTTGAGTAGTTCAGAGAACCGGTAGTAAAAAGTGTGACTGGCCCCGTCCCCGTCCCCATATATTCTCTGCCTCCCAAGTCCCAGCTATTGGGAGGAAATGGGGATTTTGCAGTAACCTTCCCTGGATTGGAGAGGGAATTAAGATTTTACAGTATCCTTCCCCTGCCACGCCCACCAAGCCATGCCCACTAATCTATACCATGCCCACCAAGTCACACCCACAGAACCAGTAGTGAAAAAAAATTGATAAATTTTATAAATAATCTTTATTTTTCCAGGGTTATCCATTCTCTAATCCATGTTAAACTTGAGGCTTTATAATATTTTTCCCATGCCGGGAGTCCAAATCCACCTCTAGTTTTGTCATCTTGTAATAAACTTAATTTAATTCTTGATTTTTTCCTCTCCCACACAAATTTTGTAGCTATTTTATCCAAATTGCTAAAAAATTTCTTATCTAATTTTATTGGGATTGTTTGGAATAAATAAAGGAGCCTTGGCAGTATATTTGATTTTATTGTTGCAATTCTCTCCAGAAATGACAATTTTAATTTTCCCCATTTTTCCAAATCATCTTTTATTTTTTGGACCAAAGGTCCATAGTTATTCTGTTTTATCATTGTAGTTCTGGCTGCCATATATATTCCTAGGTATTTCACTTTTCTGACTACCTGCAATCCTGAATCTTTTGCTAATTTCTCTACATGTTTTGCTGTTATATTTTTTGTTATCATTTTAGTCTTCTCCTTATTAATTTTTAGATTGGCTACATTTCCAAATTCCTCAATTTCTTTTATTAATTTGGGTGTTATTTTTATTTGATCTTCTATGAAGAAGACAAGGTCATCCGCAAAGGCTAGGACCTTGTATTCTTCTTTTTTTACTTTTAATCCTTTTATTTCTTTATTTGACCTGATTCTGATTAGCAAGTTTTCCAGAGTCATAATAAAAAGTAAGGGCGACAATGGGCAGCCCTGCCTTACTCCTTTATTTATTCCAAAGAATTTTGTTGGGTCCCCATTTACTAATACACTACCTTTTGATTCTTATATATTGACGATATCATTCTTGTAAATTTCTCTCCAAATTTCATATTTTTAATTTGGTGTGTCATAAACTGCCAATTAACTTGGTCAAATGCTTTTTGTGCATCCAGAAATATCAGTGCTACCTGTCTTTCTGGATGCATCTCATAGTATTCTAAAACATTTATTACCATTATATTATTTTTTATTTGTCTTGTAGGCAAGAAACCGTTTTGATCCTGATGTATTCTATTATTTAAAGTATTTAAAGTATTATATTATTTAAAGGAGATAATAACTCAATACTATCAAGAGCTTTATGAGAAAGATGAAGTAACAACAGAGCAAATAGAACAATACTTAAGTGGGGAAGGGATGTCAATATTAACAGAGGAAGAAAAAGAATCATTAGATAAGGAAATTACTATGGGGGAGTTAAAAGAAACTTTGAAGAGACAAAAAAATAACAAAACGCCGGGGACCGATGGCCTACCAATGGAGTTTTACAAAAGTTTAGGGGACTCACTAAATGAGATACTATTAGAAATATATCATGAGGCATTGACGGAGGCAAAGTTACCAAATACATGGAGGGAAGCATATATTTCCCTGATACCGAAAGAGGGAGCAGATACAACATTAATAAAAAATTATAGACCAATCTCCTTATTAAATACCGATTATAAAATTTTCATGGGCATAATTGCAAATAGGATGAAAAAAATATTAAATAATAGAATACATCAGGATCCTTGCAGACATTTCATTTATTGGTACATGTTGGCTTTTTCTAAACTCTGAATATCTGGTTCTGTCCATTGGTGTGCAGTCCTATAACTTTACAGAAATATAGACACACCTCGCCCCAATCCCTCTGGGAAGAGATCCTACATATGTCATCAGGGTCATCTACAGATTGCTAAATCAGGATCCTGCTAGGACTCATGATGTTATCTAGATTGGGTAATGAAACATATGCCAGAAAACAGCAAAACGCAGAGAGCACCAAGGATCCCTCATTTCCACCCAGAGCTACACATATTCTCCTTTTTTGGTACCCTGTTCTCTGTAAGCACCTGTCCCTGTATCCTATATTCTGAATTAAAAGAGTTAAATCCAATACATCATCTTTCTTTCTGTGTCCATGTATCTATATTGTAAAAAATTCAGGTGATTTTTTAAATTATTTTTTATTTCAGAAAGAGGGGAAACACTTTTTCAAATTGACAAATAACAAGTAGGTAGGTTTTGTAAGGCCAGCTAGGGGAAAATAATTTCAATAGATAATTAACTCTTCCTGGAATTGGTCCAAATTACTATCATGTGTTTATTTGCTCAAAGCTCCAGAGATTTTCTAGAAAGCAGTTAAAAGTAGAAAGCAAGTTTGAAAGAGGTTATAAACTAATCCTGGTTCAATGGAGAGCTTCGGGGGGGTGGAGGGGTGGGAAGAGTCGAATAGGACTATTGAGTTCAATTTCTCCAGCATCTGTTCTTTCTTTGATCAGACCAATTTCAAATCTCAGTTGAAGAAATCTCAGTCGTTATTCAAGCACGTGACTGTATCTCTATCAAAATGAAAAATTTAGATTGATGCTTTGGTCTCTGGACATGTGTTGGGAAGATCCAGGATGCTAGGTCAGATCCATTGTTGTGGCTTGATATTTTGGAGACCTCTTTGGGAAGATGTTTTGGCTGCTGATGTGTTATTTATTCTGATGTTCCTAGTGATCAAAGTGGATGCACTCAAGTGCCCAGAAGTTGATCCTATTCCAATTCCACATGAATGGTACCAACCAGGTGATCTTATCATTGGAGGGATGACTTCACAGAACCTCTATGCCTTCAGTGAACATTTGTTTGATGAACATCCATCTCAGGAGCTCTATGGACTTTCAGAGTAAACAAAATCCACTCTTTTCTTCACGTAATGATTCCTTGGTTGTTGTTCTTTTCCCACTTATTCATATCTCTATGAAAAAAGGTTCATAAAGGAAGCAGATCAAGTAAATGCTTCAGTTTCTGAGAGTTTCTGTAGGTTAAAAAGGACTCTTCTTTCCCATCAATTTTATTTCAAATAAAATGTTATGTAGTCTAAATATGATGGTTAAATTGCAAATCCCTAAGAAAGGGGATTTAGTAAGATGAAGTATTTTAAATACTTTAAAATATATGGTCCCCTTATTATGAAATAAAAGAATAGAATTATTTTTTCCCAGGAAGGGAAATATATCCATAAGAAGGACCATTATCATCTAATTTAGATAAGTTTATTTGAAATATAAAATTAAAAATTTAC